CTTCTATTTGTTGTGAACAAGTAAAATTCTTCTTTCTATCATTACAAAATGTATTGTAAATGTATGATTCCATTTCTCTTCTATTTGTTGTGAACAAGTAAAATTCTTCTTCTTATCATTATAAAATGTATTGTAAATGTATGATTCCATTTCTCTTCTATTTGTTTTGAACAAGTAAAATTCTTCTTCCTATCATTATAAATGTATTGTAAATGTATGATTCCATTTCTCTTCTATTTGACTTGAACAAGTAAAATTCTTCTTTCTATCATTATAAAATGTATTGTAAATGTATGATTCTATTTCTCTTCTATTTGTTTTGAACAAATAAAATTCTTCTTTATATCATTATAAAATGTATAAAATAGAAGAAGAAAAACAATTGGTCATTTCTAGGAATCTATTTCTAGGAATAGAATAAATTTATTTCGCAATTTATAATAATAATAATAATAAAGACAAACATATGATATATTTAATATAAGAAATACGATCACATATCATAGCGTAATTACCACAAAATTAAGAGCTGTTATTTAATCGATCTTTTGTAAGTTAAAGGAAGCTTGAACTCTCTATCAAACCGGTTTCGTGTATCAAACAATTCATTTATTCCCTAATACGTAGTGACGGGATCATTTGGGAATAAAAATGAAAAGTCAGCTGGAAATCGACTATAAAATATATATAAGTTGGTAATCGAATATAGAAGAATTTAGCCGTTCTAAAAATATGCAATCTCAAAGAATCTCGAACCGTCGCTATCTGCAAAATCAGAATTTCTCTCGAGGGAAAGAAACAAAACCCAATCCTTCGTGCGTGTCGCAAGAAATTGCACGTAACTAATTGCAAACGATTTCCCATAAATGACTCAAATCTTATCGCTTGTCCGCGAGAAGTCTAACAGAAGATTGAGAAAAACTAACGACGCGGAATAATAATGAAAGTTATCGAACTTCGATGTAAAAGATCCTCGAATGAAATAGCTACGTCCCTGAACTCTCAACCATAAAAATACGACAGGACAAACTGTAAATCCTGAGAGTTACCTTCAGATGATATCCTCACTTTTTTCAGGTACGAACGTGCGATTCAATGGAGAAATAAACGTGCAGATTCAATAGAGAAATAAACTCCTCTGAGATTCCACTGGTTCGTTTATCTCTCCGTGTGATTTCATCGAGACGGACACAGATGTAACAATAGCAATAATAAATGTGTTAACCTGTGCATTTGTCCAACGAAATTTTCGTAAACGTTGCCCTCTCGTTGCGAGAGCGCGGCTTCGTCGAATTGATCCGCCGGGGGGGCGAAAATTTATTAAATGGAATCCGTGTGAAACAAATGCTCAGCTACGCGAGCGAAATTAGGAAATATTAGAGGGCAACACGTTCTAAACGAGCTCTAAGAGTCTCATAAACCGGAGGATTCCAGCTTCGGCTTTCTTTTCGCCCATCGGGCCTGAAAGATCACAGTAATTCTCGAAATTAGCAAATCCTCGTCACCATCGTTGCGACACATACTCCTCCGAGAGAAGCAGAAAGTTTTTAATTGTTGAACCTAAAGAACGATACGCCGATTCTTTTTCTTTCGAGTCTAGTTTCAAGCAAGCTCATAATTAATATACCAAACAGTGAAACGTTATTGCTTTCTTCATATACAGGTTCGACTCGGCTAGATCGCAACGGTGAATTAGAAGAGATGATACTATCGATGAGAATTGAAATTGAATAATGATGAAGTTAGATAAAGTAACGAGGGATTTTCATTTCAACGAACGAAAAGAATGCGATTTTTTCAAGAGCCCAGACAGTTACTTTGTTACAAAACAAACTCTATCTCGTTGCACGTACATTGAAGAAGTGCATTACGTAAAAACAGCAAAACCTTTACGCTGCACCTGTAGTAGTAGAAGAAGAAGAAGAAGAAAAAAAGAAGAAGGAAATAAATTACATGCCTAATGTATTTTCACGAAACTCTCAATTGGTTAATTTCACTAGCTCGATTCGAGCTAAATCGAGAAAGAAAAAAAACCAGCAGACGAGGAGCTTTCCACGAAGCCTGCATAATCATCAGTTGTAGAAATTACTATCTTGTGATTCGCTGTGACTACACAACGTGTGTTTCACTCGTATCTGTAACTTTTTGAATAAATAGACAACAATAAATAGTAGACATCTACGAATAAATAGTAGACAAATAGAAATTAATGCCTGAATGATGATGAGATTGTTCCTCCTCCAAGCCAGTAATTTCACCAATTATCCCGTCTGTTTGATAGAACTTCAAAACTCGACGATACAATGGTCCAGGAAACAAATATAACCGGCAAAACCGAAAGATCGAGCTGGAAGATAGGCTGATCTAGCGGAGTTAATTAGCCACGCAGCACTTGTAACACGATGTACCAGAGGAAAAAAAAAA